AAGGTCCTTTGAGTTAATTAAAATCTTACTTGGTGGTCCTGTAAGTATACTTGTACGTAACTTCCCGAGAGATTTGCCGAGCTAGTGCGAAGAGTTCGTCTCTCCTGGTCAACAGCGCGTTATCCTTTACGCACAGCTGGGCGGCTGCTTCATTAACTGTTAGCTGGAAATTAAACACAAAAACAGGGATTGGTGATTTTGCATACTTCCACCCATTGTGCTTGTAGAAGTACCTGTTCTTCTGAAACAACAAATTTCAATTGCGAGTAAAATTACCTATAATTGTCTGCTAAACCCTGGAGGGTTTCTTCAATTTATTTATACCCTTACTAAGCCAGGTAAGCCTCTGGGAAGAGAAAAGATATAAATGTAGTTGGTGCATTTAATGTCCTTTAAAGTTAAACATTATTGTAAGAATCTCGATGTGCACTGCTTGTGCCTCATCCTAGCATTAATTACATTTCAGTATAAAACAGTAGCTCTGAACATTCACAGTGTTTAGCTCCCAAAGCCTGGTTTACAGGGAATACTATTTTTATAAACGCAATATGCCCAGGACTCAAAAAAAAAAAAAAGAAAAACCCAACCCTGACAGTGTGGGTACAGATGGCTTTCCCTGGTGAATACAGCATAAATTCTGCAGAAGGTGATGGTTTAAGAAACGATTACACTTTTTTTAGCTATGTTTCTCACCCTCATGTTTGTGAAGACTATCTTCAGACATGAATCAAATGCAACTTGTTTCAAGGATGTTTTCCTGAGCCCGCTGAGACACATTTCTAGCGCCTCTGCTGCTGGCAATAGTTTCATAAAGACAGGGGGGTGGACAAAAAAGCCTTAAGTTAAGGCTCAAAACGGTTTCGCAGTGCTCTTCAGAAGCCTGTAGAAAGTGGGGATACCGTCACGAATTATACCAGCCCAACAATCCTGCTGTCCGAAAAGCCTGCGACCAACAGCACGGACAAACGACAAAACTACTACTGCAAGGAGAGACACTGAAACTCAGATGCTGGAGAGGAGATTCCCTGCTCCTTCCACAGCAAGCAGGCGATGACATTTTCACTTCTTCCTCTGCTGAAGAACAGCCAGCACTCGTAACGAGGCGTAACAGCGAGAGGCCAACAGGATACTACAGGTATTGTTTCCAAAGTGCCCACAACTCTTCTACTCTTTATTTCTGGAAATGAAGCTTCTTTGCATGGGCTTGACTTCACGCACACGAGCACAGCCTAAGCTCTGCTGCTACTGTCAACAGTGTGTTCTGTATCTGTCTCAGGCCAGTGAGTAATAAAAAGCAGCGAGGTTTGCCACAGCACGGTCAGCGCATCCGTGACGGACGGAGATGTGCCATCCCCAGCCCTCCATCCGGCAGCGCCAAGAACAGCCGCCGCTGGGCGCGCAGGGTTACGCGGCTGAGGACGGGCAGGACCGCACACGCGCGACCTTAGACACCGAGAACGCTGCTCGTGCAAGAAGTGCTCTTCATGGAAAGGGACAGAAAACAAAGGTGAGGACAGACCAGCAGGTCTGCAGTGAAATGCTGTCTCCTGGGAGAAGGTTAAGAAACTCGCTCTTTTACCCTGCTCCTTACCACACTGCAGAACGTTACTTGTGGATTAAATCACAGCGACTCACCGGAACACCGCACGTTCCATCCCTGCAGGACGGAAGCTGTCATAAGACATGAACAACGCACAACCACTGCTGTCCTTCACCGCAGTGCTCGATGTCATCCAAATTAGAAAAAAATATATTTTGCCTCCTGCAACACTTCTTCTCCAGGGAGGTTGAAAAAACAAAAACATGCATCAGAAGAGCTGACATTCTCTCAGTGGCCTGTGTCCATGCAGTATTTCTAGTAAAACCTCACACAGATCTGCTGTTCCTAATATTTCATAAGCATTTTTTTTCCTGTGTTTAGCATAAAAGCCTCTGATCTGAGTAGGGCAGTTCCTGCAATACCTGAATGCTAATCTGAGTGCAAATGTCTTTAACAGGCAAACTAGGTATTTTGCCTGATCCTTTCTTTAGTCTCTGTACAGACAAAAAAAAAATCTCACAGAGATGAGATGTACAAGGGTGGGAAGTTTAGATGTATCTGTGAAACATCTATAGGTTACTCTGTTCCTACAATACAATGTACTACAATAACAAACTATTATCCCTTAGACAGGAACGGTTGTCCCACAATGTCTATCTTTTCAGAAAAAAACACGGGGCCGGGGAGGGGGGGGGAAGATACAGAAATAAAAAATTGATACAACACTGATGAAAAGAATTAAGCAGGCATTAATTTCTGTAACAGTGATAGCTATTACTTTGCACAGGATGAATAATATGGCTAAAGCTTACAAAATGATTCAAGATGGTTTTTATCCCTCAATAAAGTCTTCAAAGGCTGCAAAGAGCTGAAATGACTGAAATGCTTTGGGTAGTTGCAGGCAAATGCTGTTTATCCTAATATATGAGAAAAGCCAAACGTTTGTTTGTTTGTTTTTCCCTGTTTCTTCTCTCAGGTCACATTCAGGCTCACTGAACTGAAGTGCATCATGGCTTCCTGCCTTTTCAGGAGGCATAGTGCTGCAGATCGAAAGTGTTGCATGCCTAAAAATAAAGATTCTGTTTGCTGGAAGCCTTAAGGATTTGGAGCAGCACACAACCATATAGGCTCTATGGAGAGGGATGGATACATTCCCATCGGATGGGGTTCATAGATTCCCCCAGTAAAAAACTCGTAACTAAATACCAAGCCTTACCATTTTGTTGAGTCAGCAAAAGAAAAGGAAAGAACTGAGACAGACAAAATTTATTACTTGCATTTCTTATTCCTGTTTCTCACACTACTAAACAGCATTTTTTTCAGTTTTATAGGTTCCTAGACAAGCACTGAAATATTAACACATAACTTACAAATCTGACTCAAACGCATGGGTCACTGAGTTCAAGGGCACACCTTGTACTCATCCCTCCTCCACTCCAACTCTAAACATAAAGATCACTTTGTGCTTGAAAAGCTGTGTAATACCGAGACAATGGGATGGATTAAGGACAGTATGTTTATTAGTTCTGGAATGTTTATGAAAGATTGGAGAGGGTCCAGAGGAGGGCCACGAAGATGATAAGAGGGCTGGAGCACCTTTCCTATGAGGACAGGCTGAAAGAGTTGGGGCTGTTCAGCCTGGAGAAGAGGAGGCTCCGGGGTGACCTTATAGCGGTCTTCCAGTACCTCAAGGGGGCCTACAGGAAAGATGGGGAGAGGCTGTTCAGGAGGGCCAGTTATGATAGGACAAGGGGTAATGGTTTTAAAATAGAGGGAGGTAGGTTCAGGTTGGATATTAGGAAAAAATTTTTTACTATGAGAGTGGTAGAACACTGGAACAGGTTGCCCAGAGAGGTGGTGGATGCTCCATCCCTGGAGACGTTCAAGGCCAGGTTGGACAAGGCCCTGAGCAACCTGATCTAGTTGGAGATATCCCTGTTCCTTGCAGGGGGGTTGGACTAGATGACCTTTGAAGGTCCCTTCCAGCCCTAACCATTCTATGATTCTATGATTCTATGATTCTGCATCAGATTTTAGGCTAGATCAGTGCCTTACACAGATAATCCTACCAGTAGCACACACTTCCAAACCAGCTTAGTGTCTACAGCTCTCATGGGCCTCTACGGGCTGCTCAAGCCCTCTGAGGTGCTCCAGGGTTCATACTGAAACAGGAAATAGTCTCACTAACTCACCACTAATAATTCCATCAAACTTGAGTTTAATTTGCATGCAACTCCACTCAGCTTGACGAGTCACAGATACCCTGATCTTTACATTAGGAAGCTAACCACTACTTCAGCTTTTTAAATTCTCAGTGAAGTTTATTCAGCTGTTCATTGCCAGCTGCAAGGAGAAACCTTGAACTGTGAGGCAGAATGACAGCCTTGGAACGTATTAATGCGTGTAGAAACAGTCTCCGGACACGCACAAACTTACCTCCCTGGTTGTTTAAGATCCCTCCTTCTGAGCAGCAAATCATTTAAGCCATTAAAAACAAAAATCCGTTGAAGTTGAGTTTACAAAAGGCAAACTCTGGCTTAGCAGATCTTAAACAAAAAAAATTGTCTCATTACTACTATTTGTGTATCTTCTGCTTTAAAATGAAAATAGAGAGAAAACTGTTCAAGACAACTTTGTAAAACCCGACCTCTTTAAGCAAACAGTAAACCAATTATGAGCAAATTCTTCTTGCTTGCATGTGTGCAGTTCCCATCAAGTTCAGCGAGGCCCCACATGCGTAAGTGGGGCATAAGTCAACCACATACTCCTTTGATCTTGTGCCCTTAATCATAATAGCGATAGAAATATTTCCTAAAGCCAAACCATGCTTTCATTCCATTTTTAAACATGGTTTTACAATGATGTAGTAAGGATCTGTAGCGCAGTACTAAAAAAAAAAAAATAAAAATGAACAAGGCAGTCATCTTGTCTTCCAGTCCTTTGCTACCCTGCTCCTTCAAACTACCATCCCACCATTCACTCCTCCAGCTTCGTAGAGTCACTCCTGAGCCTACCACATGCCTGACACAAAAGCTGTCCCCAGCGCCCACCTCCCGCTATGCTGCTGGATGCCAGGAAATTATCCTACAAGAAGCCTGGGCAGATTTCAGAGCATTTTCTGCAGCTGCTACCCCAGAGAGAGAGACTTTGAAAGCCCACAGCTGCCCACATTGTACACCTTGACTGCCTCCATCCTCAGGTGGGGAGAACCCCCCTTCTCCGAATCCTGACTCTGCAGCAACATGCAACACGCACAGGGTATCTGCACAATCTTTTCAAATCCTGCCTCCTTCTCACAGACAACTTGTTCTGTTAGGGGAGAGACTTCCGCAAGGTCAGGGGAGTAAGACAAGATCTGTTCTGGCACACTGGATGAATTCATAGATTGTAAGCGTTCAACATAAAGCCACAAAGCACGTAAGTGAAAGCCGCACAACTAAAACTGTGTGGTGGAAATGTGGCTGACTACTGACAAGATCCCTTGGAAGTACCTCACCAGTCTCTACTAAAAGCCCTACTGAAGCCACGACTGGTGATGTGCAGTTGCCTTATAAAATGTAAATTCATAAACAAAAACGTAAAGAAATATGCCTTGTTTCCTTCTGCCCTTCTACTCAGAAGCACAAAGAGAACCTAGTCTTATGCTGTGGATCACACACCTACAAAACTTCTTCTTGAAGCGAAAAAAGGCTAAAGCCAGTACAGCTTTTTTGGCACTCCTGTAACATAAACATTGCCTTTCCTTTGGGAGCTAAGCCTTGCATGCCAAATTTTAAATCCAACTGAAATTTTGCAATCACTGTTAACTGTGAAAATGCTGATGCAGCATTCATATCAACAGCGTTTTGGCACTGCTTTGAATTAATGTTTGTTCTCCTCTTGTACTGTATTTTGGCACTAAGGAACTATTCCCCACACAGACACACCTATTGCGTTACAACATATGCAGTGTGAGCCTCAAGAACGCCAGAAGAGAAGCAAAGGAGGCCCCACATGTCCTTAAAAGTCCAAGAGGGAACAGATGCTATGCAAGTATTAAAGGACAAACCTTCAAATTACAGTCACCCATCAACACTGGAGGCGGTCCTTTCCCTTCCTCCTCACATAGCCTGCACTTCACTTGACCGCCTTAAGACAGTACCCAAAAAATCTCAGGTTGTATAATTAAGCCTCATCTCAATTCCAACACAAGAAAATCCCACCCCACTGGGTTTAGTGACCTCATCAGCAGAATCCTTTTTACCTCGAGGGCACAAGCTACAGAGCAGGGTTTCGAGGTGAGGGAAGAGAGCAGAGAGCCAGGTGACCCTGTTACCAGACACAAGCGACTTTAGGTACTCATCTTCCTACCAACCAGTCTACTCTCAACAGGGCAAGGGAATATCATGACAGAACTGCTTTAAAAATGTGCCAAATGCTTAGAATCCCAAAGGCCACACTCAACGCAATACGGATTTGCTATTTCAGTATCAAATTGTTTAAATCCTCTGTCTGACAGGCCGCGCCAGCGACCGAGCAGTCTGAAGACACCAAGCTGAAGCCATCAGTGCACGCATGTACACTCCCACCCAAGAAAGGGTACTTCTACTGCACCCGAGACTTCTATTCTGGGGCAGGACCGCCTACTCTCGTCACCCGGTGAGAAGGGGCCATACAAAAATTCTACCCTGTGAACAGCATCTCGTGAAAGGTGTAGGAATAGGGGAGGAAGCCCGCTGCCGCTCAAGGGATTTTTTACCTCGTGGAGCGTGAGATGCTTGCCATCCTTTCTTTTTGAGTCAAACCTGCCATATATTGCACTGTACTTTCTGATCTCCTCCTCTTTGTGAGGGTCCTCATCACTCATCTCAAAGATGTGACCAATCATCTTTGCCAGTTTCTTATTTGTTTTCAGTAACTCCTTGACTTCATTAGAGTCACTTTTGGGCAGGGAGGGGATCATACGTTCTACGCATTCAGCAACTGACAGAGCAGCGGCGGCATCCAGGGTCTCACTGTTTTCCTTTGGTGAAGCCGGAGAGCCGAGGTCAGCCGGGGAAAGACTGTGTTCGCTCTCTGTGGTGTGGTGCCCTTGCCAGAGTCTTGGTTCACTGCCGCTCTGCAGCGACAAGTTCCCCACCACATCGGATTTGCTCGCGCCCACGCTCTGCACGCACGTCGTGGCAGCACATTTTGGAATCTTCAGGTGAGGCTCTCTGGTGCTGCTGTTCCTTTCGTAACTGCTGCAGGATATCCCCAGCCACGCAGGAGACCCTTCCGGCAGCTTATATATTGGAATGCTGCTGACCGGCAGGGAGGTGAGAGGCTGGTTAAAAAGACCAGGGTTTGTGACCCAGTCCCTCAAAGCCTTCTGCAGCCTTCGGACGTGAAGCGGCTTGCTAGCCATGCCTACGAGAGCCATTATCTCCAAAAACTCCTCTTCACCTGCTTCACAGAGCTGCTGGACATCATCACCACCCTGCTGAATGAAGGCATCGAAGTAGAATAAGAGATTTGCTTTCTGCAGTATTCGATACAGCTGCAATTCCCCAAGGGTTCTGGGTAGAGCTGACGCCATCACGGATGACAGAACCTGCAAACAGTAAAAACAGGGAGAAGATGAGCACCAGAACGCCAATGTCCAGATGCTTTCCCCACCACCACCCATCCTTCTGTAAGACTGTCAGCTCAGAGGACAGGATTTCTTTCTCTCATTGTAAGAACATGTACGGAAACGAAAAAAGGGGCGATAGCTCTATTTTTGACTAGTAAACTTAATGGAAACATTTGTGAAAAAACAAATCAGCAGATAGTTGCAATGCACCTACAAAAAAGATGATTCAAACATGAAGCCAGCTTGTTTTCAGCGTTCTCACTTCATGTTTGTTCCCAAGAATGTCATTCAATATTGCTCACTGCTTCTACTTGACCCTTTTATAACTTCAGATCAAAATGATCACAAAACACTCCAAAGAACTACCGAATACTTGATCCCCTGAAGAAAAAAAAGCTCATCAGTTTAGATTCACCTCAATTCTCAAATCATTTCCCCCATAGCAATGTGGAGGACTGTAAAAGGAAAGCAAAGAAGAAAGAAGCGCTTCACAGAACCAGACGATTAACGAAGCTGGATCAGCAAAAGGGTGTTTCAGAACCAAGTCTTTCTACAGTTTCCCCCGTTTCACACAAAAAGGATCTAATGCCTCCACTGATTTTAATTATGGCAGCAACAGCTGCAGACAAAGCAAATATACTGATGGACTCCAACACACATAGTTTAAACATGTTATTTTGAATTCACCTGCCTGTTCCATGGGCTAACAGGCCTGCATGTCATTGATACTTATGACATGAAATACTATTCAGCAATACAGCAATTGGACTTTAAGGGCTCCCAACAGACAAACTGCAGCAGCATTCTACCCTTACAGCTGCAAAAAAATCATCTTCACAAGTTTCAGCTCCATAAAACCTGTTATCCACAGTTATCCTGTAAATAATAAACTCTTCAGAGAATTCCAAGATCTCACATACACACCTCTTCACTCTACTCAGTGGCTTTCACAACTACAAGCGGATAATTTCCAGTATTACTGTATTAAGCTAAACCACCAATCAATAAGGTCTAAAGCATGTAATTTATGGTTGGTTGGGAAAGTAACAGAAGTAATACACGGAGCTGGTCTGCTAACGTTACTCCAGCTCTACTATCACATTACACTTCAAAAAACACATAGTAGTAACCTAAAAATCAGCACTTACAGAACAATTTGCGCACACTGGGGAGAAACTATTTTGATAATGCACAACCTCCATCCTCCCAAAAATCTGATGCAAGAATATGTATGTCTGCTTAGGGACACTGAGAGACTGGTAATCAAAAGTACAATTAAGGCAGAAATTATTATTTTTACAGTATGCACTTTTTTTTTTTTTTTTTACAATATGTGGTTTTTCTCCAGCAACTCAAAATAAACGTACAGATGTCACAAACTAACTCAACTACTATTCAGAAGGCATTGGAAAGATCAAGCTTTCGCTACAAAATGTTGATTAAACTCTACTAGAGAAAAATAAAACTAGGAGGCCAACAGAAACTTTGCAAAAATGTATTTGGCAGCAACAGGATACCTACAATCTCTTCAGGAAGAAAAGCCCTGGAAAAAAACAGAAAATACAAAACCAAAACCACTTGCTGCACATATCATTCTTTGTACGCTGGTATTTGTAAAACAGAAGGGACAGCAAGGGTCCTTTAGATCTGAGCTGAAACCAGGACACACGTCAAGGAGCTGCTGGTGAGCTCAAGAGCTAATGAACTGCACACTTCGGAACTCGGAGTGAAACTGGAAACATTTAAAAGCTACATATTTTAGAAATACACTTTAGCTTTTGAAAGTAATTGTTAATTGCAGAAAATCAATTAAGTACTGTCTACACTCAAAGACATGAGAGGTAACAAGGAAAATCACTTAAAGTAATCCTTTAAACGGTCCATAACCCAGTATTTTAAGAGTCTTCCTTACTTCACATAATTTCTTAAAAATCCTCCCATTCCATACGAACTTTGACAAAACAAACAAAACTAACAGCTTATGGTTTAGTGGCATTTCAGTAAACTGTTCCTAACCTCCCATTTCAAATGATATCGACTTTCTACCATCAATACCACAAATTCACTTACACAACTGTTAAAAGAATACTCATTTGCTCTGAAAGTCATTCATCTTAGCATAAAATCTACATAAATCTCCATAAGCGGACTTTGTGCAGAGAGCTAAATTGAATCTTGCGGGGACAGTGGCAGTGAAATTACACACAGCCCAAGAGCTCCAGGCAAGGGATGAAGCTCATTTTTCCAGCCCACAGGCTGGAAGAGTAGCAACAGTCCACAAGCAGCCTTTACCTAGAGGCTCCTTCTAATCAACAAATCTCCTCACGACAGATAAAACTGGATTAATATGTACTACGGAGGCGTCAGGAGCGAGTCCACAGTTCAGACTGTGTGGAGATTTGCATTTAAAGCAAGACTGAAATCCCTTTGTTTTGTACTTTAAAGACCAACTCTGTTTTCTGAATTTAGTACAGTAACTCCTGAGAGGGCCACGCAAATTTTCCATTTCAGATTGCTACCAATTTCTGCAGACAAGACATTTTCAAACACTCCTCCTTTTGACCTCTTTTCTCCTCTCATTAAACTGAGTCCCTTTCTGCACTCACCTCAATGACATCCCAAGTTATTTCTACACTTTTACAAGGGAAAGGCTCCCTCCCTTTTCCAAGACAGCCTCACCATGCCGCCAGCTACACTGTTTTTCCAGACATTACCGGTCCGCTCCGCTGGTTCGGCTCAGCTCACGCCCTACAAAGCCAGGAAAGCAGGTGAGCTAGTCCACCTGGAGGAGTAAGACAGGGCTTAGGAGGCGGAAGGTTTGCTGAGAAAGCAGCGCAGCACTGCTCTGGAATTGGAAGAGACCGTTAACCCAAGGGACATACGGCATTGCTGCTGCTGCCTGGCTCTGCCTACCTATGGCAAAGCCTGAGCACACCCACTCAAGTCTCAGTGCCACACATCTTTCAGTTGACCTTTAAATTGCCTCTAAGAGACCTGAAGTGCTGTTTTCCACCACTGTTGTTGTCCTTTCTTGGTGCAACAGGGAGCATGCTTTTGGGGCAAAGGGTGAGCACCAGAAGAGGTTACGCAACGAGAAGACATGGGGCGAACTCACAGCCAGGCGACTTGTGTACACTCCTCACCAGGGAGAGCACCTTGGGTAAGACCCTCAGGCATTGTCCCCCTCTTCCACAGCCTGCTCAGTAACTCTTAGGCTTTCTAACCTGTGATCCCAAACAAACTCGGTTCAGGATAGCAGCCTGGTAACGTGCTCTGGCAAACCCAAAGAAGCTATCTAGAACGATCTGCTGCCTTAGGAGCAAGGGGATCTTCTAAGTTATGGCCAACTGCAAACCTTTTCATGGCAAAAGGCGGGAATGCGAAACTGGCACAGGAAGGTCTGCAGGAATAAATGAGCCCAGTGACGGCAGTTGAGCTACTACTTCTTCTCCCCCTTCTTTGCTCATTGTCCATACCAGCAAGGAGCGTGGGAACACACAAAGAAGAGCAGCTGTCTTTTACATTTTTCCCCTATAGAATAAACAAAGAAGCTAGGAAACTCCCCATAACAGAAAAAGCCGTTTAAAATACCTGCAAGGTTGCATACTGTTAGAGCCACGGAAGAACCAGGAAATCACAAGTTAGATTTTCACTCAGCCCTTTCAACCCACAACCACGCGTTCTCATTTTCCGCACTCCCTCATTCACATCCACAGCCTATCACCCCACACACCGTGCCCTCCTCTCCAAATGCTGGATGTCACCTTAGCTCTGACCACAAACTCATAGGGAAAAGGAAAACAAAAAAAAGCCCCACAGAGGCACCCCGCAGCACTACTAAATATTTGTAAACAACCCGTGCAGGAATCACAACTGATTCCTGCAACCGGCTCCCTCTATCAAGACAACGGGCGGCAGCAGCGGCTCAGCTCGACATCTTTAACCACGGGAAAACACCCGCTTCTTCCCGTTCTGCCTGCTCCGAGTTCAGAGCTGCACGTTTCCCAGAGGTGGCAGGAAGATACGCGGCTGCAGTAAGCAGGTGGTGGATGTGGGTGAAGGACTGGGAGAAGGAAAACTCAGGAGTTGTGGGATGTAAGCATGGGGCAAGGACTTCACCAGCAGTTTTCCTGCTTTTTAAGGTTGCACCAGAAAGCAAGAGCAACCGAGCAACCAGAACTGATTTTGAGAGATTTTTATTTCAGGTGAATTGTATTTGAGCCGTCACCGATTAAATTAGAAATACGCACAAGGAGAAAGTGCGAAACATCACATTCCTGTATTTTAGGCAAAAGTGATTATTTCATAATGTATCTTGATCACTTTGGGCGTTTTGAAAAGTCTCTGAAGACAAACCGGATTTGGATCTGAGCGCTGGCTGCTTTGCATATTCATTACATTTTTGCAGCGTTTCCAAAGGACTTTTAGCAGGAGAAGAAAATTACATGTAGCTGCAGAAGCGAGACTTAGCAAATTAAATAGTCTTGTCTAGCTCTGAGATGTGCCAAAATACAACCTATTAAGTGAGTTTCACATCCAAATACAGATGCGTATCTCGCCATAACTAATAAGAAACTTGAAACGTGCAAAAGACATCGCGTAAGGATAAAAAAAAATAATAAAAAAAAAAAAGCCCAATTACTTGAC